GTACTGAAAATTAATTGTTTTCGCATGGTTACGTAATGGTATGGTAAGTGGTACGACTTAGGAGACCGATTGCCTTACGTACCATCTTCTACCTAAATCGTACTAGTACTATCCTCAAAATTAATTAGTATTTATGATTAAGTGAATAAATAGACGATGTACAACCCAAAACAGTTGTTTAATAGCATAATAAGAAATGTGATCAATAAAATGAAATCTATAAAATGTTAAGGGAACGTAATGTTACATGCTACTAGGTTCAAGTGTGACTTCCATATGTGCTGCTTTTTAAGACAGCATCTTTTTGAGATCTATAAATAATTTCCTTAACAAACACATTTTATTTAAATTTCGTAATTTTCTGCAAAAAACGAAATTGTCTTGGTCATTACGAGGCTACAAAGCCAATACTAATAGCAACATATACTAATTTGAAATTGGCGTTTTCGAATATAAGTATAAACGATTTTCTTTTTTTAGTTTTTAGAGCTGGGAAAATTAGTTTGGTTGAAGTCTACTAACCAATAATTACTAGATCTCTACATGACTTATCAGAGATCCTCAATATTTCAGATAAATAAAGAAAATTTTCACGAATCATCTTCAATTTTAACTCCTTAAAAGGTAAAATCAAGAAAGAGATTAATCCTTTTGCAGATGTTAAGCAAATTTAAGAATTTATTTTTTTGTTATTTGTGAAATTTGGAGAAATAGTGAGACTGCATTTTTTTAATTTCGACTCCCCCTCAAAATTTAGATACCAGCGACACTCATGCTAATCACTTAGATATTTTTCATCCTTTTTTTTTCTTTCTAATTTATCTTAAATATTTATGTTTTTTATACAAACAAAATGAGCGCCATAGAGAAATTAAAATTAATCGGTGCCCAATTTCGCTTTCTCAGAAATGAATAATAATAACGATAAAAATGACGCACGAAAAAGTGATCAGCAAGTACTAATATACATAAATAAAATGCTTATTGTAAGTAAATTGGACATTTTTAAATCAAAGTAATTTATAAAATACGATTTTTAAATAATAGAGCCACTGCTTTTAAATAACTAAATTTTTTGTAGGACTTTTCGCTTTCCTGCACATTTATTATTTGTTTAAAGAAAATCCATCCATTTTACCACTAATGCAACTCTTAACAGAAAAATGCAATCTTGCAAAAAAATAAATAAATAAATTAATAAAATAAAAAAAATAGAGTGCTGTAAATTAATTTTGATTATCCTTATTAATTATTTGTATCGTTTTTTTTTTTAGTTTCATAATTAGAATAAGATTATCGGCCATACTAAGGGAGTATAAATTTTAAATTTTTTCTTCAATAGAAAAAATAAATGAGAATCAAAGAAGCACTCAATAAAGAAAATATTTAAATATTTAGGCTGAGCCGCGATGGCTCAGGGGATAGAGCATTCGCCTTCCAATGAGGTGAACCGGGTTCGAATCCCACGATGGCTGGTAGATACAAATCCGCATCCAGCTTGCACCGACCACAGTGCTGACATGAAATATCCTCAGTGGTAGACGGATCATGGGTTAGAGTTCCTTCGCCGTCAAGCTAACCGTGGGATGTTCTCGTAGTTTTCCTCTCCATGTAATGCAAATGCGGGTTAGTTCCATCAAAAAGTCCTCCACGAAGGCCAATTTCTCCCAATACTTGATCCAGGAGTTCCCTAGTCTTCTGGATGGGGTTCAAAATTACAAGGAATTGAATATTAGTAGTTGTAAACCCAAAAATTGGGTCGGCTGTTCAACAATGGTTATAAATTAAAATAAAATATTCAGTCTAAAGTTACACCTGTGTAAGTGACACACATATTTTCTTTTTTAAATATAAGCCTATGCATAATAAAATCTGAAGCAAAATTATTATAATTTTTGACACATAATTTTGACAAATGACTGCATTTACTAACTTCAAAGTAACTAACAACTAAATGTTGTATTCATTGGTAGTTAAATGTAATTGGTGTTTTTCTACGGAGGAAAGGTGAAAAAAAGTTAGCGAAATTCAGACCAGAAGCAAAGCTTTAACTTAATAGTACCAACAAAAGATTTTGCGCATTTAAACAAAATATAGTTCGTAATGGAAAACTATGAAGTACTTAAAAAAATCTTAAGTGAGAGNAAATCCGCATCCGGCTTGCACCGACCACAGTGCTGACATGAAATATCCTCAGTGGTAGACGGATCATGGGTTAGAGTTCCTTCGCCGTCAAGCTAACCGTGGGATGTTCTCGTGGTTTTCCTCTCCATGTAATGCAAATGCGGGTTAGTTCCATCAAAAAGTCCTCCACGAAGGCAAATTTCTCCCAATACTTGATCCACGAGTTCCCTTGTCTTCTGGACTGGGTTCAAAATTACAAGGCCACGGAGTTGAATGTTAGCAATCGTCAACCCAAAAACTGGGTCGGCTATTCAACGACGGTTATAAATTAAAATAAAATATTCAGGCTTAAGTTACACCTATGTAAGTCACACACATTTTTTATTTTTCAAATTTAAGCCTACGCATAATAAAATCTGAAACAAAATTATTATAATTTTTGACACATAACATTGACAAATGGCTGCATTTACTAACTTCAAGGTAACTAACAACTAAATGTTGTATTCATTGGTTGTTAAATGTAATTGGTGTTTTTCTATGGAGGAAAGGTGAAAAAAAGTTAGCGAAATTCAGACAAGAGATAAAGTTGTAACTTATTAGTACCTATAAAAGATTTTGCATATTTAAACAAAATATATTTCGTAGTGGAAAACTATGAAATACTTAAAAAATTTTAAGTGAGAGCTAAAAGTATAAAACTTCAAGCATTAGAAAAGAAACTTTATCACCGGTTTTTGACTTTTCCTAGGACACTGGAAATCCCACTTGTAAATTTTGTTACCTTTAAAATTAAAAAAAAAGGTACTTTAATTTATCATAATCTCAAAATTTAATATTGCAGGGAGTTGGGAAAATTTGAGAATATACTGAAACGAAACAATTTCTAAAATCGAATATTTTCGTTTACTATACATTTTTCTCGATACGATTTTATGAAGCACATACCATAGTATAAGCATAATACGCTCTACAGGGCCCGATTTAAGAAATCCAGGGGCTGTATTCATAGAATTGTCAGGAACCCCAATGATTATAATCTTGAATCAAACGTACAGTGCGCAATATAAAAAAAGAATAATCCTGAATAACTTTTGATGTAATGATTGGATCTATGGATATAGATTGGATCAGGTTCTAGATCTTCAGGTATCTCAACCTCAATGGTTCGATGGAGTGACTCCAAATATGCTAATTAATTAGTGTAGACGATTTCTTAACTTGCGAATTCAGACACAAAAGTGTACTTTCTCTGAATAAACATAACTTTTCTTGACGGACTCGGATTTCTGACCCCTAAAATAGTGGGGGTAGCAGCAATCTGGGAAATATGGTCCCAATAGTTTGGCCAGAAGAGCGGTTCAAAGTTTGGACCACTTAATATTAATTTTACTTTTTTCTTATTTCATTATATCTCGAGAACTTTTTAAGCGTATTGAAAAATTTCTACACACAGTTATAAAATTTGTTTATTTAAAGATAATTCCAAACAAAATATAACTGTTAGTATATATTTATTATTATTTTATTTAATAATAGTCGAAAAACTTTTAAATTGTAAGGTATACAACTTTTTGTATCATTTTAAAGAATGCAAGTTTAAATGGCAAAATATGAAATAAAGTGGTCGAATAGTTTCTGAGAAATCGCATTTTGGAAAAGGTCGTATTTTTAAAATTCGATTTCTCAGGAACTATTCGACCGATTTAGCTGAAATTTTGCATTTTGCCATGTAAAAATACATTCTTTGAAATTATGTAAAAAATTGTATATGTTACAATTCAGCATTTTCTTGATAGATAATAATAATAAATATTCGCTAAAAGTTATTTTCTGCACGGAATAATCTTTGTCTAAACAAATTTTATAAATGGGTCCAAAAATTTTCAATTCGCTTAAAATTTTTTCGCGATATGGCGAAATACGCAAAAAATAAATGTAACATTAAGGGGTCCAAACTTTGAACTTCTCTTCTGACTGAACTATTGGGACCATATTTCCCAGATTGCGGTCACTCTCTATATTTTGTGTGTCATAAATCTGAATCAGTCAAAAACGAGGTATTTTGTTCAGAGAAAGTACATTTTTGTGTCTTATTTCATAACTTTAAATATCGTCTGCACTAATTAATTAGCATATTTCAGGTCACCCCCTCGACCCATTTTAAATTGAGTCCTAGATCCGGTCATTAGATCATCAGGGTAGTTAGTTTACTTATTTTTTTTTTGCGCACTGTACAGATTGTGCATGAAATACGTTTCAATAATTCATAACATAGAAGAATCAAGCTTATATTATATAAGCTTATTTAAATTTTCGTTTATTCATAATTCTAGCCATCTGAACGTTGAGCCCCTGGGCAAAATTGTACTGAAGTTTCACCGCACTTTTTCAGTGAATAATATGCAAAAATCAGTTTTGCATACATTGCATCTTTGCAAAGATGATAATCTAAATTATGTATAGAGATCAATTTGAAATAATAGTGTTTTAGGGTAGTTTCGAAATATATTTGTGTACAATATATTAGGAGGACTGGAAAGTAATCCCGTTTTGACGCATTAAATATTTCTTAGTTTTAAAAACCAATTCCTTTTCTTCGATCCATAACGATTCATTTTGGATCTAGCGTTGAAAGGTTGTTGCTAACGAGTGAGAATACATTATTGATTAAAAATAAAAGTTTGATAACAAATATCAAATGCACCGAAAGATTTTCCGGTCCTCCTAATATATATAAAAAATAGGCTAGAAAATATGTATTTCAAAATTTTGACAATGAAATACAATGTTGTATGGCATAATAAATTACTGGAAATATAATTTTAAAATAAATGGTATCTACAATTTTATGCAGGTAAAGATAACTAAACTACTACATTTAAAATTTTATTAAAGTACTTTCAATAAGTATGACATAAGTTCTAAGATACACTAAAAAAATTACCAAAAAACTCATGTACATAAATTAACATGTGATAAACGTAATAAAATGGGCATTGTACTTAATAATGAAAGAAAAGCTCGATAATTAATGCATCTAACACTGTAACAAATTTATTTTAGAACCTGAAAACATTCAACATATGCTATTACTGATTCCGTAACTTAATTACGTATCAGAAATAAATAATTTAACAAAGATAAAAGAAACATGCAAAAAAGTTACATTATGAATAAATTCTTACACTAAGAAAAAATTTTAACGGTTTGAAAAACGTATCTTAAATATGCTAATTAATTAACCCAGATGGTTAAGATGATTCAAGTTAAAGATTTAAAAAAGGCACTGAAAATTCATACATTTCTTATTATTTTTAAATAAAATGATAAAAATGTATCTTAGAAATAGGATAAAAAGAGTTTTATAGTTATAAATAATATTTTGATTTACATAAATAGTCACCTAACCCCCCAAAAAATGGTCTACTATACAACCATTCTTTCGGCCTAAATATTGGGATTATGATTTCCAAACTGTGATGGATTCCCCTCATATTTCCAGGGACAAAAACTTAGATTATTCAGAGAAATAAAGTTTTCAAGAGAAAATTTTTTGTGTCTGATTTCAAAACTGAAAATATCATCTGCACTAATAAATTAGCAAAAAAAAAAAAAAAAAAAAAAAAAAAAAAAAAAAAAAAAGAAGACGTCAATTGTCTTTTTAGAACAACTAAGATTTTAGAATTTCCAAATAATAGATAAGAAGTTATTCATGATGTATTTTTTTGTGCACTGCACATGCTTATACATATCATACATTGATCGATTGTTATTTAGTTGGATAAAATATGAGTTTTAAAGAGTCTGTTAACAAAAAAGACATAAACCCATTTTCATTATTTTAAAATGCTAGGAACTCCTACTTGATTTATTACAACAGTGCATTATTTTTTATTACATTTATCACTTAAGTTATTTGAAGATAAATACTGAAGTCCATTACAAATCCTGCCATTTTAAAACCTTTAACAATAAAATAGAGCTACTTTCTCTTTGAGTAAACACCTCACGTATCACAACTAAGAAATATAATTTGCAACTTAACCAATGAAAATATTTTATATTAATTAAATATTTTTTTACATACAAATAATAATAACTATTAATATTTTAAAGGAGAAATTCACAAATCTGAAAATCACAAAAGCACAACATTAATTGTGTTATTCCATAGTACAAGTTTTTTTTTGTTTTTTTTGTTTGACTAGAAATGAGAATATAGCAACACTTTTTGACTTTCAAAAGTGTTTCCTGCAATATATGAAGTACATTTACACATTTAATTTTCCAATGGATCTTAAAAATATTATTATGTAATAAAATCACTGATTTTTATAAATACATTGTGCAAAAGTGAGAAGTTTATTTCTCACTTTTTATGTAATAATAGGCAACAGTTTTAATTACCTGAATAGTATCAAATGTATCTAATTTCACATGGAATTTTCTTAAAATGAAATCATAAAAAATGTACAGTTCTGATTTTTCAAGTTTAGCATTCATTAAGAATTTTTTTTTTCATTTTTTAACTTACTTTTATCTAAAAGTTACTTACTAGTCTTTAACATAGAAATACATAAATAACTTCATTCGACAATTTAAGTAACAATTTATTGGTAAAAAATATTCTTATTTCTAAATATATAAGTGAATATCATAAAAATATTTACAACTAAAAATTCTTTATCAAATAAATCTAATCAATAAATCACATATTAAAACATAAATGTAAAAAAAGTAAACAGCTTAAAAACATAAAAAAAGATCATATATTTACACTGGCATGTAAAACTTATCATTCATCTTTACAAGGTAAAAAATATTTGTACAAGCTTTAGTCCTTATTAATGTAGTATGCATTAATAAAAATAAAAGTGAGTTAAAATTAGATTTTTATCTAATGATGGAATTTTTATGAATTAAAATGTAATCTTAATGTTTTAAAGTACGAATTTTATGTTTATTACATAGAGCCACCAATTTATAGGTAGCAAAAATTAAATAGCAAATTTAAAACGTGTCTTTCAAATAAGATTAAACTTGATCTTAAGTTATTTGAAGCAGTTTGTTCATGTATGCTGTATACTAATGACATTTAGGAATCAATTTCATAATCTAGTTTGTGAACTAAAAAAAAATGTGTTTGGAAATTTCACTAAGGTCTAAGTATAAAATAAAATAAAACAAAGTAAAAAATGCAGGTTTTTGTAAATGAACATGAAAATTAGAATGCAATTGGAAAAAAAAAAGAGTTTTCAAATTTAAAGAGAAAGTTAATTTTGCTTAAGTAAAAAGTGTTTTGATGAACATGATACATGAACAACTTATTGAACCTTTTAAAACAAGCACAGCTCAAAAAGCATGTTAGCAAACTGATAGTCAGTAATATAGTTTAATTTTTATTTTCTTTAATGGAATAAAAATAGTTAATTACAATTGTTATCCAAAAAGAAAACTAGTTTTCTTTCTTTTTCTATACAAACATAGTTTATACAATCCTTGAATGGGCATTGGTGAACACAATGAAAATTATGATCTTCCAAAATGTGAAGCATTTCATGCTACTAGAGTAGAGGGAAAGCTGTTTTCATATTAGTGAATTTTTTAAGTTTCTCACACCAGTGTATATAATGAAAGAAATTTCACATGTGGATGGAAATGTTTTTTTAACATAGCTACCTTAACACAGTTCTTGGATTGACATTAGGCATAATAAACTTTACTTTTTGCCAAAATCTTTTATCACCCCAATGTATAATGTGTGCATTGCTAAGACATTGTTTAGCATCAGAATCAAGAGACTTGAATGAAATTTTACCTACAACAACAATGAGAAGTTTATGTTTGTGGTTGCACTGGGATTCACGATAAGCCGTTTTTAATTCGAAACGACAACGTTCGTTTCGTAGAAAGTGTTCTGACAGGACGATAATAGTCCGTTGACTGCATTCAATGGCTTCTGTAACAGCTTCTGCAACATATTCTGAAAGAGGGAGGTCACGATATCGCAGGCAAAGTCTATAGGACGGTTCACCACATTCCAATTCAGGAGTTAAAAACTGTAAAACAAAAGTCTCATCTTTATTACAATAAGACACAAAGGCGTCGAATAGCTTTTCAGATTCAGCAGTATAAGTATTTCGCTTGAAGAGACGAATTCCATATTTCGTGTACAACCAAACTTTGATATTATGCCTACATAAACATATTAATATCATGATGATTAACAGTAAACTGATAATGGGAATGGCAATATAATATAAGTGGAAGGTTAATTCAAAATAATTTCTATAATTCGGTTGTGAACAGGATGACATGTTAAATGCAGTTAAGTACAGTCCAGCTGTTTCATTATATCGACATTGTATTGATTCGACATCTCGTACAAAAGAAGCACCATGTAGCCATTCGTGAAACAACTCCAAGTAATCACAATTGCAAATCCAAGGATTATGGCTTAATCGGACACTCGTTAATCGAGAGTTCCAATTCAAATTCCATACTTGAAATTCTTTGATAAAATTATGATTTAAATGTAATATCGATAACATTTTTAAATTTTGAAAAGTTATATTAGCAACAAATGTAATTTTGTTGCCTGATAAGTATAATTCTTCTAAGTGTATTAAACTTTCAAATTCATAACCATAAAGAGCAGGCAAGTGATTATTTTCGATGTTCAAGATCCGAAGATTTACAAGTCCATTAAACGTTCGATTATCTATTGTGTGAACATTACTATTGTTCAAAAACAATGTTCTCATATTTTTACGACCTATGAAAGCATGACTAGATAAACGACTTATATCATTACCATCCAGATATAAGTCAGTAACATCCATTGGTACAACTGAAGGTATAGATGCATAACCTTGTGAGCTGCAATCTACAATATTAGTATTCCAAGTTTGGTCTGAAAAGCAAGTGCATTCATCAGGACATACCATTTCACAATCACAAGCATCAAATTCACAGCAATGGCATAGAGCAAAACAATGGCTTCCATATTTGCAGAGAAAATCTGACGATTTTGACTTAGATAAATGTATGTATGAATGAGGTCGAGTAAATGATAGTTTGCACACTACCTCATTAAAATCAATTATCCGAGGGAAATTATTACTACCATCTGGCTTGTTTATATGATGAAGCCATTCCATATTGCAATCACAGAAAAATGGGTTTCCTGAAATAGCAAATTGCGGTAATGGTTTCTTAAGAGTATTTTGGTTAAGACGAAAAGTATTAATATCTAAGTTTTGAATTTTGTTGTTAGATATATCTACATACGTCAGATTGCTTTTAGCAATAAAGGTAAAAGGATGTATATTACTAATTCGATTATTATTAATTCTTATAACTTTAATTTTGTTGGGAAAGGAAGCCCCATTAACATCAACTAAATAATTATATGAAACATCTATTTGAACTAATTGAAGAGTATTTTCTAATTCATAATAATTTCCTAAAATCTCAATTTCATTACTATGAAGGTCTAATTTTTCTAGTTGAACAGGTATAACAGCATAATCAAACCACTGAACTTTATTCCTTGATACATTTACATGCTTAAGTACCTTTAAGTTCATGAATAATCCATTTATATCAGTCAAGAAATTATCACTTAAATCAACTTTTATTAATGATTCAATATCATCAAAAACACCATGCTGTAAATTATAGATCTGATTTTTTGATAAATCTAACTCTTTTAGAATAGGCAGGAGTTTGAAATTTTTAGAAGTTAAATTACCTATTTTGTTTTGAGAGAGATTAATGTAACGAAGTTGCTTTAATAATAACAAAGAAGAATTATACAGATCAGATATATCATTATTTTCTAAATTAAGGCTTTTCAGAAATTGTAATGCAGCTAATGAATCTGGTATAAAACTTAAATTGTTACTTTGAAGAGACAATTTTTCTAAGGTACTACAGTTCTTAAAAGTATCTGGATGAATCATTAAAATATTATTAAAAGCAAGATTTAAATCACTTAAAACATATAAACCATTTAGAGTAAAGGCATCTAAATATTCTAAATGATTGTGAGAAAGATCGATCGTATGAAGATTATATAAAGATGAAAATGAATTATCTTCAATAAAACTGATTTTGTTATGCGAAAGAAAGAGCATCTGGAGTGAATACTGGGATAATAATAAAGTGCTGTTTATGAATGTTAATTCATTGTTCCTGAGATCTAATAGAACCAAACGAATTAGATCAATAAATGGTTGATGAATTAGATTACTTGAAAGATGATTTGAGCTTAAATTTAAAACAAGCAGTTGCTGTAGGCCACTAAAAAAACCAGATGGAATACTGTAGATAGCATTATCTTGCAAATATATTTCTCTTAAATCAGGGGAATCTTGAAATAATACAGCTGGAATCTTTTTTAACATGTTGTTGGACAAATCAATTATTTGCAGAAACTCAAAATTTGTGAACAAAAATGCATCCACATCTTCAATGTTGTTGTGTGCTAAATTTAAAAGACGCAACTTTCTTAGTTTTTGGAGGTTTTTAGGAGTTATTCTGTTAATTTTGTTAAATGACAGATCCAATTCAGATAAACTACCGGCACAGTTTCTACTTCCTTCATAATCAGAAACATTATCTTTTGACAAGATTGTAGATAGATCATTATGAGTCAAATTTAAAATTTTAAGAGAATTAAGTTCGCATAATAATGCATCAGAAAAATTTTGAAGGTTGTTATAAGCTAAATTAAGAACAGCTAATTGTTGCATTTCATCCAGGCTATTATCATCCATATTAAGCGAAAATATTTTCCAATAGTTATTAGTGGTTTGAATAGACAAATTTCTTAAATTTTCCAATCCTATAAATGCTTCCTTTGACAAATATTTTAACTTGCATTGATAAATATTTAAAGACTTCAAATATCGCAGATGAACAAATGACAGTGGTGCAAGGTGGCTTTCGAAGTACATGGGATCACAAATAATTGTTAAAGAAGAAGTAGATTGACTTTGAATTAAGGAGAAATTAGTTGCAAGAACACCAGAAGCAACAATCCTTTCAAGATGGCAAGTCAAGGATACATCATTATCATTTAAGGCAGTCCACTCACAATCTTCTGGAGCTGTGTAACTAATAATTCTTTTAATAGTGTAGAGGAAAAAAAGCACCATCACCCAGTTGGCCATTTCTTTAGGAAGATGTCCAAAGTGAACTTGACTTCTAGTTTAAAAGAAATAGAAATTACACTAAATTTATAAAGAAAAGTTTCAAAATGAGAATTTATATCACACACTAAAAAGAAATTTAAAAAAAACATATATTTATAATTTTTATACAAATGAACCATTAAAAATGATTAAAGGTTGACTATGCAATGAATGTTATATTACCTAAATGACAATAAGTATATTTTTTAAAACTGAATGATGTAATTACACGTTCTTTAAAAAAGCAAATTTAAAAATTTCCATTCTAAATTTAAGACTTGTGTATAAGTACAACATAAACTGAAAAGAATATAATATGATTAACTTTTGATACAATGATCGGTTTGACATAAACTGAGGGGTAGTTTTAATAGATTTAAATATAAACCTTAACAATTGGGACCATATTTTTTTTAATTGCTCCCTTCCTATATTTGAGGGTCAAAAATCTGAAACTGTCAAAAATATTTGATATTTAAATATTTTAATATTTGAATAATAATATTTGAATTTTAATATTTTAATATTAAAAATATTTAAATATTTGAATCCAATTCTCCCTTACTTAGCATATTTGAGGTCAATTCCCAAATCACAGAAATTGCATCATAGTATGAGAAAATCTGGTCGTTAACATCCAAAAAACCTGAGCTGTTCTTATTTCTTTTTGTTTCAAATTCGCACACTAGATCTTAAGTCATTAGATTTAAATGTGTCACTATGTCATTGAAAGCAATAAAGGACGTCGAAAATTCAAAGCAATTAAAAAGTTTTGAAGAAAATCTAAGTTAATTTATATGAACTTAATACCTGGATTTAAACTACAATATGAGATTGTAATGTCAAAACAAAGAAGGGATGATAATTTAAATTGTTTTTATTTTAAATAAGGGTATTTCATAATCACCACTCTTTAAAATACATTTTTAAAATCTTTGTCAGAAATGAAGTAAAAAAAGCATATACAAAAGGTATCGCTAACCAATATTTAATCGTGGAATAAACAAAACTGCTATCAAAATCTGGCGAATTACTAGGAAAGAAGGCGAGAGAGAAAGAAACATCAAAATCAGTTTAATTACTAAAGGAAATTGTAGGTGTTTTTAATAACTACCTTTCAGACTCTTCTCTGTTTCCTCTGGCAACCAAATAGGTTTTGATGTTTCTGTTGCCGCCTTCCTCTTAAGTTATTTATCGAATTTTGATAGCACTTCATTGTTTCTTGCTTGAATATGAATTTGCAACACCTAAAGTGTTTTAATATTTTTTCTATTCTAAAATTATACATTAAGGTCTGTGATAACATCCAGTAAAATGATAATAAATAAAAATGCAAGACCTTGATTAATACAAAAGTATAAGACTCGTTCTTAAGTTTTGTTCACTTAAAAGTATAAGACTTGAAAAAAAAAAAGATTTAAAAAACTTAAATAACATAGACTTATTTAAAACTTAGTTTTTATCTTTAAGAGAATGATTAATGATTTTTGAAAACGTGTCTGATTTCAAAATTTGCACCATAAAATTTAAAATTACAGTAGAGAATATTTAAAAAAATAAGTTTTTTTTAAAACTCTTCTAAGTTTTTTTTAGTCATTGCACACAAAATTAAAAAAAAAAGTTATAAAATATTAAAAAATAAAATAATTTTTTTAAAAATATGAACAAAAATGGTACGCTTTAATATCCCCCTTTGAATTTATTTCACCATGTTTATAACAAAAACAAACAGTTGAAAAGAACTTGATTAATTTTTAAATGAATAAAAAAAAATATTTAAATATCATACTTACTATAATATACATATTTTGACAATGACTTGGTCATCACATCTGGTTACAAGTTTTACATTTTTGAAGCATTGAATAATGCAATAAGTAACAGCATTATTAAATTACATTCATTCAGGGAAAAATGATTATTGGTATACTTTCAAACTTATAAGACTTCTTGATATATGATGCCATCATCATTATGAATAACTTGGAACATTCATACAAGCATGGCTTAAAGATATTCTCAACTGAATGTAGATACATATTTTTTTGTCCATATAATATTACTTGAACTTCATTGCTAAAAAGTAAAAAAAAAATAAATAAATATCAAAGGAAGTATGAACAAACATGTTTCACTTAATCACTTCACAAATCTACAACAAATTAAATTATAGTCATATATTCTCCGAAAAATCAGTTAAATGTTCAGCTATAATATCAGTACTATCTTAAACCGCAATATCGTGCAAATTCATTGCAACCGTAACAAAGTGTTAAACAGAACCATATTTCCCTTCAAGTTGAACCATATCATCATATAATCAAGTTAAAGATGGTTTAATTTGCACGATAATATGGTTCACAGAATTAACCCATTTTCAACCAATTGTAAGCGCACCATTTCAATAAATATTTTTTCTTATTAACATTGTGACATACCATATATTTCACTAACTTTATTTTTCTACTGTTTTCAAGGTTTCTGAGGACATCTATAAATTATTAATTAATTCAATTGGAGTTAACATTTTCTGTTGAAAGATTTTCAATCTACGCTTGTTTTTCATTTATTTATTTATTAAAAAAAAAAGGGTATTGGCACATTTGACTCTTTGAAAATGTATAATTATTCCATTTGAGATTATGATGGATTAAAGTTTCAAGTTCTGTAAATAAAATAAAAATAAAAGAAATGTCATATAAAAATTAGTGTTCAACTAAATGATTTGGGTAATGGTGCATAAATGTACCACTTTATTTCTTCAATAAAATATTACTTTTCATGCGTGAAACATTTTTTGTGTCTTAATGAAAATAATATAAGCATAGTTTAATAAAAATAGTACCATATTTTATAAAATTATGCTTGGCCAAAAATGGATTAAGGTAGCCGCGAAACTGTACGATATTGTAGTTCAATGCATTCCAAAATTTCTAAAAGCAAAAAAAGGACTAATTTTTTTTCTGGAATACAATAATGTAATAAAGTCAAAAATACACAAAAAAGTAAAAATACAGATAGCTGTTTCGGTGCTATAAGCAAGTACCATCATTAGTGTTGAGATACAGAAAGTGCACTTATATGTCTTTGCATTGAGAAAAGTACTTATTTATAATACTGAAACAGCTGCTGACATTTAGTTATGAAAACCACTATTATTTAATTCAATACATTTTATTAGACGGAATCATGATGAAACATGCCTTAATACATGAATATTCAAACCAATTTGTTAACTATTATAATTGAAATAGATTGAATGTGACTGTAAAATGTAATAAAGCTTATAACAAGTATGTATTTAATAAATTAACTACATACTTATTTGCCAAGCATACTTCTGACCTAACTAAAACCTTATGATGGAGGTAAATGGGACTTAATAAATTTAAAAGATTTCAGTTTTTATAAAAATATACATCATGCAACGTAAGCGGAGAAGCACTGTATTCAATGAACGAAAATTTATTCATTTACTATTTAATCCAGCAACTGACTTGGTGAGATCATATATCTTCTGGACAAATAAACGAAACTCTTTTAATTTTCAAGTATAAATGAAGAACTTGGGGCAATAAGTCACACTTTTTTCCAAGTGACATTTTTACACGTAGCTGTTTCTTGGTATTGTTTCCTAACAGATATTTTTCAAGTTGATTCTAGATAACAGCACAGTACATAAAAACATTTTATTGCATTCATGGTAATATGGTGTGTGTGCTTTTTATTTTATTTTCAAAACCAAAAATGCTCTCACGAACAATTTGAAAATGCGTCTTTTCATTATAATGCCTCTAACTCTTCACATTAACGAGCACTCAAATTTAGTACTTGTTCATTTTTTGAGCATAAATTAGTTTTTACATTCTACCTGTGAGCACCACGACAATGAGAACGAACGAATAATGAGGGGATAATGAAAATTGCTGAATTAGTCGCGAACATTAAGATGAAAATACTTGATACATGTGAAGGGCTTTTTTTTTAGTACTTTACTGTATATACTTGAATATACATTTATTCAACTTATGTTACGATCGGCAAGTGGCAAAAAATAATACCCCGAATAAACTTAAATTTCACAGATTTCAGAAGCTATTATCTTTTAGAAAATAAAGTTTAAAGGTATCAAAAAAATGTTAAAATGTGCATTTCCCTTAAGCAGTTTATTTATTTGCTGATTTTCCATTCGGAAATAAATATTGATTTAAAAAAGTTTTTCGTATCGTTTTAAATCTTACTTTTAAACGGCCTATAATATTTTTTTTCCAACCCTTTATAAATAAGGTATAAAATAAACATATCAATAAAATATTTTTTTATGAATTTATTTGATGATAAAAGGGTTTGGCTTATTTAAGTTGTTTCGATGCATTTCTAATTTAATCTTTGAAAACCTGCGAGAACTTTTGAAAACAAATAGGAAAAAATAAGGGAATAAAATTTTCTTTATTTTTTTATTTATAGATTGACGAATTTGAAATTCAGGAAGAAACCTTCTTTAAAAGTTTGCGAAAATTTGCGTATGATCATACTGTTAAAAAAAAAATTATAAAATGATTTTGTAAAAACAATTTATAGATCAGAAATGCAACAAATTGCAAGTCCGGATTTAATGAGATCCTGTGTGTAAGGAATAAATTTTTTAAAAATGGTTGGCTGAATGCAAAAACGTCTACATGAAACTCTGCTGCTACGACATTATATGAAAGAATTTTTCATAAACTTCTTGAAAACTATTTTATTGAAGTTGTCAGAAGAGAAAAAAAAACATATCTGACGGGTTCGTGTTCATTCTACACACCTGGAAAGCTTTCTTTATTTTTATTTTTTAAATAGATTTTTTATGCGGATCTTTCAAAAAAAAAATTTATGTAGATATGCAATAAAGAGAAGAATGTGAGGCATGTGTTACGATGAATAACTAAACCAGTTATGTGGGAATTTAGCTACGTTACGGATTAATAAGAAATTGCAATCATTGCATGTTATGCAAACCATGGAATAGTTTCTGGCGTTTTGTTGCTCACGTGTCTGCCTTTATACACTAATCCAATTGTTTGTGAATCGTATGTTCGATTTGCTCCTCATAGCATCGTGTTTTCTTTAGTATTGCATTTATTTTATCGCACATATCTTTATAATGAAAAAAATTGTTCATTGAAAAACTGCCGAAAAAAAGAACAAAGTTAAACCATTTTATTTTATTTTATGACTGGCTTAGAACAGCCGACCCACTACTATCAATGTTCAACTCGGTAGACTTGTAATTTCGAACCCAACCCAGAAGGAACTCCTGGATCAAGCATTGGGACAAAGTAGAGGACTTTTTTATGGAACTAACCCGCATTTGCGTAACATGGAGCGGAAAAACACGAAAACCTTCATCTTTGAGTTATACACCTTTAACAACTAAATAGTGCTAAGTCTTTAAATTACTTATGAAATAATATTTACTTTTTGCGGTTTTCGCAATATCTCTGGAATTAACAACGCGAATTTGCTCACATTAACAAAACTTTTATGTTTCATGTAAAAATATTTTCTAACATTTATTTATTATTTTTTTTTCTTTAGTTACAAGGAATATGAGTTTTTAAATTAGATTATTAACAACGTAAATTTATAAGACAAATTAATAATAATAATAAAATAAAATATGGGACGAATAATTTCTACCAAATAAAAATTTAAAAACAAGATTTTATGTAACAAAAAATAAGGTTTTAAAATTGAATTTTGTTTGAAAATCAGTCACGATTTATTTGATAAATTTGGACATACAAAATAATGTAGTTCAAAATAATCAGTTCCGCAGTGAACTGATCGTTAAGACATTGTTCCCAGCAGATCACCGAAGTCAAGCATCACTGGCTGCGGTCAGTGAGCGGGTGGGTGACCACTTGGATCAGTCTGAGTAGGGACAGAGGGTGTGCGGCATTGGTCCTCGTTAAACTGTTCTACCGTAAAGTGCTCGACTTCGCGTGCAGGTCGTCGGGCTACCGAAGCGGGGGTGCCATCCCCTCTGCAGAGGATCAAAATTGTGATGGCATGTCTTCGGATCATCCTCAGGGATGTTTCCCAGACCGTCGCCAATAGCCCATTGTGCAGCTCTAGTGCGACGTAAATGAACAAATCAATCAATCAAAATAATCAAAACAATTTCATTCAAAACATATCGATAATTGATGTGGATAAATTACTAACACCCTCAGAAACAGATATTTTATTCGAAGATAGCTCAATTGTCCGTTTCAGAAATTTCCGCATGGAAAAAAATGGAAAACTGAACCGATGCCCAGAGTTAAAAGGCACTAAGAAGTCAATTTGAAGGAATGGGGTTCAATTCTCAGTGGCGGTTCCAGTCCACCCAGCTTCCGATCATTGGGCATCAACCTCACTGGGCAGTAAGGGCAACTTATACGCAATTATGATACAGTACGTTACTTTCATTTACGTCGCACTAGAGTTGCACAATGGGTTATTGCGTGACGGTCTGAGAAATATAGGGAGATCCGGAGACAACAACATATATACGTCAAATCCCGTTTTACAGGGAGGACACATTAACATACCATCCATCCGCAGATCATAACTTTGACCTGAAGCAGAGCACTATCAATCTCCTATCCAGTACCCCTAGACATGTTGATTTGTTATTGAAACTTGGAGGACTTTGCGACCCCGACATATTTAGAGTGTACCAGACACCATTTCGTTTTCGGTCGGCTGGGATCGAACTCACGACCCTTCGGAATATGAACCCAACTAGCCGGGCTATCCCTGCCTGCACAGTGATGACCACAACGTCTTATTAACAAAAGGTTACGAAATTGGGGAGTCTTAACCTCCATAACGGGTTAGTAATAAGGCTTTTTTTAAATGGAAAATTATTAAGAATATTTAAACACCGCAATTGAGGGAAGCGGATTGGTGGTTTAAAAACAATACAGTTCTGAAAAAAAAAAGACTTTCTGTCTTTGTAGGCTACTGTAAAATATTCTCGTGACAATGAAATGAAATGACCACAGATCTTTATATTATTCAAATGGTTGCAGACGTAAATATAACTTAAT